CAATATAGCTAATGTTCTTTTTCTCCTCCCTCATTATACCCAGTGTCTTTTATATTTTATTTTATTTTGGTACCAAGGGTCAAACTCCTGACCTTGCACTTGCCAGGCAGCTGCTTATGCAGCTGAGCTAAATCCCCCACCCCACCGTCTTTTAATCATTTTTATAAAGTTACTGTTAAATCCTCCCTCTAAAGACTGCTTGTCTTTAGTTAGGATCAATTATTGTCAAATGTAGGGTTTAAAATGTGGGATTAAAATGAGGGATTAAAATCTTTTAATCCCTCAAATTCTTGATTTTTTTTTCAAATTCTTGATTTTTTAAAAATCCATTAATTCAACTGTATGCCTGTAATCCCAGCACTCGGAAGGCTGAGGCAGGAGGAGCTCCATGAATTTTAGGCCAGACTGGGTTATATAGAGAGTTCCGTCTAGACTGAACGACATAGTGAGACTCGGTCTCCAACAAACAAACAAACAAACACAATCTACTAATTTAAATCATACAGATAATTTCCAGGCCGGGGATATAGCTCAGCAGCACAGTGCCTGCCTGGCAGCTCAAAGTCGTGAGTGAGAGTCCCGGTTTAAAAAAAAAAATTCCAGTTGTCAAATGCAGCCCCGCTGGCGCCCGGAGAGGCAGGTACCTGTCACACAGTCTCCCACCGCTCCTGCCGTGGGTCCCTTCCACCCTCCCACCATCGCCCAGCTCTGACGACGACCCGGACGGCCTAGGGCTGAGTCCGCGGGGGCCTCTCCCTTCTCCCCACTCACTGCTGGAACAGCCTCATGGTTTTCCGAGGCCCCCATGCTGTCCCGCGTGTCCCCATCCCGCTGGGTCCTCTCCTGGGTCCTGGGCGCCCCGCGGCAGCAGCGTCGCGGGCCCCACGCCTCCCAGTGGGCCGCGAGTTCGAGTCCCCGCGTCGGCCGTCGGGGCTACAGCGGCGAGCGCTGACGCTGGCTCTGGCGGACCCCGCAGCCGTCGCCTGCCAGGGCGGGAGGCGAGAGCCCCCCAAACCGGGTCCAGCGGCGCGCGATCGAAACCCGAGGGCGGCAGCGCGCAGAGGGCGAGGCCCCCGCCCCCCCGCCCCCCCCCCCCCGCGGCCGCCCGGCCCCGGCCCACCCCGGCCCCGCCCCGACCCCGCATTTAAACCCAGCGGGCGGGCGAGCGCGGCCACCGCACGCACCGGCACCATGGAAACCGAGGCAGCGCCCGAGAGCCCCCGTCCCGCGAGGTGAGCCGGCCCGGGGCGCAGATGGGGCGCGCGGGCCGGCCCGGGGCACCTGGCGAGGCCGGGCGAGGGCGCGGGCGCCGGGGGCGACCCTCCCAGCCGCCCGCACCGAGCGTCCTGGGCACGCGGGGCGCTGTGACCCCTGCGCTCCTTCCGGGCTCCCGCTCGCCTTCCACGCGAGTGGAGTTTAAGGGAATCGGAGGAGCCGGAGAGGGGAGGCGCGCAGGGGCCCCAGGCAGCCCGGGGGGCGACAGCAATGCCCCCTCGTCGGCTTCGCTGGACTTCGCAGATTCAGATCCGCAGCGCCCAGGTCCTCCCGGGACCTAGGCGGTGCAGCTGACACCAGCGAGGACGTAGCCGGCTCTGGGAAATCCGGGATCGCAGACTCCGGTGGGGTGGACGCGAAGTCCCCCGAGGGCGCGGTGGGTTACAACGTGGGTTACACGGCGTCTGACTCGGAGCGTCCCCTCCGGGGGTCTCCCCGAACCTCGAGAGCCGGGGCTTGGGCAGGACAGCAGACACCAGGGGAGCTGGAGGGGACGTTCCGGGATGCCCGCTGACCCTCGCGGGAAGAGCCCTCGAGCTGTTCCTGCAAAGGCAGCGGCGTGCCGAGGGAGTGGGGAGTCTCATCCTCTCCTGCGCTCTGTCTTGCAGCCCCAGCCCCAGCCCCACCCCTAACCCCAGCCCCAGCCCCACCCCCAACCCCAGCCCCAACCCCAGCCCCAGCCCCAGCCCCAACCCCAGCCCCAACCCCAGCCCCAGCCCCAGCCGCAGGCCGGTGATCTGGCGGCCCTGGAGGCCCTGGACGGTGACCACCGCTGGAAGCCAGGTGAGCCCGCGCGCAGAGACAGCCAGTCCAGCGGGGAGTCGCAACGGCAGACTAGAGCGGGCCCCTAAAAGCCTGCTCCCCGCTCCGTCCTCGAGGCCGTTGGAGCCTCCAGGGCTGAGCCAAGCAACCCCGTGAGCCCGGCATCAATCAGATCGGAGCCACCAACCCGGGCGCCCTGTGCAGCCTATGTAGCTGGTTTCGAAGCCTCCAGAAGGGATTTCTGCAAACCTGAGAGCTGGAGGAAAGCCGAGAACCCCCTTAGCGCCGGATTGGTGCCAAAATGCAAATAGGGGCAGAGTGACACCTAAAGAGCCCGGGGCGTGGGGGAAAGGCCCGGCTAGCTGCGGGCCGCCGCCGCCGTCTGGCCCTTTCTGAAGCACTTGCAGGCCGACTGCAAGCGCTTCTGGGTAACTTGTGTTGTCTGAGCAAACACACTCAAGCCCAGGGCTTTTCAGACAGAGATTAATAGCCACTACTCTTCCTTTGTTACCCTGCATGGGTGACTAAATAGCTATTATACATACCGAAGGAAAGACTCGCTTTCATTTGTTATATTTTAAATAGAAAGCGATGACTCTGAAAACCCTGGAGAGCTCCTTGGCTAGGAAGGAAGGTGTTTGATTTACCTAACCCGAGGCGTGCGTGGGACCTGGTGTGCAGTTATTGGTAATGTGTTAAGGCTCGGGTGTGGGACACCAGGCCATTAGCTTGGCGGTTTTTCTACTTTGTGCAGTTAACCTGAGCATTCAGAGTTTTGATTCAGTTGCCATTCTTTACTTTGAAGAAAAATGCAGCAAATGAATTAGTGATACGATTTTTAAGCCGAGTCGTTCTTACACGCAAAATAATCGCTTCCTTTGCATTCAAACGTAAGCACTTTAAAATTTTAGTTTTAATACTACCTGTTTGCATCCCGTATTGATCACACCCCTCGTGGGGAGTTGGTACTTGTATATAACCAATCTGAAATCTTTTTATGTCCCCTTCCACCTTCTTCCCTTCCCTCCATCTCTTAAGAACAAGATTTTATAGATGCTTGAGAGAGAATAGGGATTTACAATTATCTAGTTTCTCTTTCTTTTTCTTTTTGAGACAGGATCTCGCTATGCAGTTCAGGCTGGCCTTGAGCTCACTTTGTAGCCCAGACTGGTCTTGAACTTGCAAGATCCTCCTGCCTCAGCCTCCCGAGTGCTGGGATTGCAGGCGTGCGCCACCAAACCCGGCTTTCCAATTTCTTTTAAATGAAATGTCTGCAGAACCTATTGGTTTTTTTTTTTTTTTTTTTTACAAGAACGAAGGTATCGTAGTACACTGCCTAATGTGAGCAAGTGGCTTTGGACTTTTTCTATCGCAGTGAGAAAGTGCGCGGTGAAAAAACCGGAGATGTGACTTGCAGGGAAACATTAGGCTGAGCGGCTGCCAAGCTGGCTGTCGCCCTCGACCAGACGACAGGGCGACCTCAGGCCCAACCCGCCTTGTTCACCGGCGCCCTCTCCCGACAAAGCCGGAGAATTCCCGGGCTCCAGGGCCCTGTCCAATTTTTCTCCAGAGATGGCACCTGAAGGCGAGGGGGTAACGTCTGAGGTCCTGTGCCAGCTTTCCAGCGCGTAGATCAACCTTGGAATCAGGTCTAAATTTCAGGAAGAGCCCCAGGCTTTGGGTAGCACACCTCCCGCTGGGATCTGTTCTCCGGATTTTAAGAAAACGCCCACACCTTAGACGCAGTGTTTAACCTGTGTGCTTTTCTTTTCCCACCTAATTATCCAAACATGAATATGTGGAGGTTTCCTTCCTTCAAAAAGGATCTTTAATAAGATCACTGGGAAAATAATCAGATAGCGATAGCATAGTGCTTGAAAGCTGTCCGGATCAAGGGGATGAGTTTTATAGCTTGTGAAAGCCTGCTCTGTGATTCACAGGCAGCCGTCGCGAACGCTTGTGGGAGGTCATCCCTACCAGGTGCTGGGGTGTCCCCAGAGCTGTGCGGTTAGGACAGCTTCTGCCTGTCACAGGGCATGGAGTCCTAGGGGTAGAATAGTGAGCCGGGGCAGTTAGGAGTGGTTTATAATCACAAACAGAGCTTTTTTTGGGATGGGGAGGAAGGGTGGCTTTTTTGAGACAGGGTCTCGCTATGCAGTTCAGGCTGGCCTTGAACTCTGTAGCTCAGCCTGACCCCAATTTGCAGTGATGCTCCTGCCTCAACCTCCCGAGTGCTGGGATGACAGGCGTGTGCCCCATGCCCAGCTTCCAGTCTGAGCACAGCCCCTGGCAGCTGCCCCTACCCACAGAGCACAGATCCAGTCGCCAAACTCCCTGTCTCAAAACCTGGCTCTTGGGATCAAACCTCAGCTCAGCAATGGGTGTGAAAGACATCAGGATGGGGTCTCCGCAGTCCTTAGGAGCCCCTCAGCCACGGATGCCTTGTTCTCTTCCCCTGTTCCCCTGCCCCTCAGCCCTCGTCCCTCTGTACAGTCTCATCAGGAATGTTAGGAACTGAGCCCCAGCCCTTCCCTGTCCACCCTGCTCAGCATAGCTACATTCAAGGGCTCAAAGCTCTGTCCTGGGGTTCTGAGTCTCCCAGGCCAAGGCTTGGTGTCCACGTGCTGTCCCACTTCCACACTCTCCCAGTGTCTTGAATGTCATGGACAAAGGTAACAGACAGGCACTGGAACCAAAAGAGGTATTCAAACTCTCTGAAACTGGGACTGAGCTGGCTGGGGTGGTGCCCACCTGTCATCCCAGCACCCGGGAGGCTGACGCAGGAGGATTGCCATGAGTTTGAGGCCAGCGTGAAGTACAGCGAGACCCTGTCTGAACAGAACAGGACCGAAGAATGGCACAAAGAACGACAGTCACAGGCTACCCAGGTTTTCTCTTTAAAAACCTTGAGATAGAACTTTGTGCTATTCCTTTGCTACACCTGTGTTTGTGTGTCTTCACAGAGTGAGCCTGGGATGAACCCACAAATTCTGAGATCGAAGGGCGCCTTTGGGTTTCAGCACCCTGTAAGGTAATATCTGACTTCACAGTAAAAATATATATCATTTCTGTTTGATGCTGTAACCATGAGTGCACTTCAGGGTCTTCAACCGTACACATTCTCAACAAAGTGGAGAATAATCAACCTGCGATATTATTGTGCTTATACCAAGGAACTCGAAGGGTATTTTACTGTGGCTCTGGAGTCCCATTCACGGATTCTTTCATGTTTCAATTGGAAACTGGATTGGGATCTCTCTCTGCTTTATACTTTCTGTAAATGTCCTGTCGCATTTTATGCCTTGTGTTAATTGTCCACAACGGTTTGTGCCTATGCTCTTACCAAGCTACCAGATGCACCTCTGTTTCCTTCATGGGGCTGAGCTCATATACTGTCTTGTACTAGCAAACCCTCCGAATGCATACATTGACTAAGTCAGGGGCCAGACGCTGGCTCCGGGGCTGCGAGCCCTTTCCTAGCTGCTCTGGCCATCGGGTTTGTCAGTGTCTGGCTGGGGTCTTACTTACATTTCACCCATTTTAGGCCTTAAGTGACTTGTGTTCGGGATTTTCGTATCTGTGCCTGTCTCTCTCCATCTCTACTTCCTCCCCCGAAATGGAGGCCCTGCTGCCCGCCTGCAGCCTGGTCACCTTCGTTCCTGGAGAGGAGCCCAAGCACCTCCAGACCCTCGAGCGCAGCTTTTGGAAGAAGGGAGCTCTCTAAGCACCCCTTACCTCTGGTTTTCAATGCTGGGGGAAACTTAAAACCCCAGGTGGGGCTGGGGATGTAGCTCAGTGGCAGAGTGCCTGTTTGGCAAGTACAAGGTCCTGAGTTCAATTCCCAGTACCAAAAATAAATAAAACAAAAACCCAGGTGCCTGGGTGGAGCTTCATCACGTAGCCCCATTACGAACCAGACAGATGATTTTATTTTCTATTGTTATTTCAGAAAATTTCAAATATGCACTAAAGCAGACCAAATATTATAGTGATTCCATCCACATACCGATCACAGGCCACAGCTTCGCTTCAGCTATCACAACCAAAAATGCCTGCAGACAGTTGCTTTATTTTTATGTTAAAGAGAAAAAAAAAAAAAAAAAACAATAAGAGCAATGATACAGAATTGGAAAACTGGGGGCTGAGGTTTAGCTCAGTGGCACAAGCACCTTCCTGGCAAGTGCAGGATCATGAAATTGATCCCTGGTATAAAAAAAAATTAACAGAATTTGAAAACAAGGTAATAGGAGATTAACAATGCTTAATATATTGTGGAATGTTATTTTCAAAGTAGTTGCTCAGATTCCAAGATATAGACATGCATAATTGATCAAACAATAAAATCACAAACCGTTCTTTCAATGAACTAAAAGAAACCAGTAGTAGAACTATTTTAGCTATCTTTTGTATCTATCATTTTCTTTTCCTTTGCTTTTCTCCTTTCCCTCATCCCAGTTTTCTTTCTTTTTGAGCAGTTTCTTCGCCTTGCACAATGTCTATTGTAGATTTGGGATTTCATTTCCTTTTTCAGTTTCTTACACTAGAGAGACAATACGATGTCACCTACAATCCAAACGTTTTCAAATGTGCCCTGGGATTGAGAACCACTGGTCTATTGAAAATCGTAGGAGGTGAAAATCACCACAGTGATAGCAGGGCATCTTCTCTCTCCCTTTCTATCTAGAACGAGGAAAAGAGATTCTGAGAGGGCTTATTTTGCAGCCCTGGGGGTTGAACCCATGGCCTTTTAGAGACCCATATTCCCCTCGCCTGATTTTAATTTGTATTTGAGACAAGGTCTTGCTAACTCACAAAACTTCCCAGTAGGGTTTAAAATTTATCATTCTCCTGTCTCAGCCTCCCAGAGTACCGGGATTATGGGTGTGCACCACCACTCTCAGCTAAGGGAGGTTGTTTTCAATTCTTTCCCTTTTATAACTGGGGTTCCCAATTGATTGAGGGTTTCCAAATTTTATAGAAAGGTTCGATGCTGTCTCTCCAGCCACACTGTCTTCCCAGAGACGCAGTCTTCCCGCGGCTCTGTGGGGACACCTGACATAGTTGGCTGCTTCTATGGGTCAGAATTTTGGAGTCATTTCCAGAAACAGGGGGGACATGGGGCCTCCCTGAAAGGGTTCCTGCATTCTCCAGGAGGACTTCCCTCTCCACCAGTCAGAGCTCAGCATTTCTGGTGGCCTGTCCCCTTGTGCCACCCCTCTTCTTGGCGGCTCGTCCAAGCCCTACCTACCTGCTGGCTGTATATTCCAGTGTCTTTGCCACCGCGATGGGTAGGGGGTACCAGGCAGGCAGGAGGCCTGGGGTGCCAGCTGCACTCGGGGAAAGGAAATGCTAGCAGGAGTGACTTTTCCGGTGGATTAATAGCACATTTGTCTTCCCACTGTCAGACTCTACTTGCCCATGTCGAAGCGTGAGGAGTTCCTGCGGGATTCCGGGGAGAACGTGCTGGCCAGCTTCCCCATGCAAGCCACCATTCACTTCTACGACGACGAGTCCGACACTGAGTCCGAGCTTGAGTCCGAGCTCGAGCTTGAGCCTGCTGAGCCCAAGCCCAATGAAGAAGAGCGGGCGGGAGAAACCCAGCCCCCAGCACCTCAGTGCCAGGAGCAGAAGGCGGCAGGGACAGTGAACGACGTGGACATGGAGGAGCTGGACTGCTGAGCCCCGCAGGAGGCAGGGGCCCCCCGACCTCCTTCTCCGTGTCTCCCCAGGGACCGGCGCTTGCTGCCCACCCACATGAAATGCATCACTTGCGGTGGCCTGGTGACAGCTGGTGTCCTCAGGGTCATCAGAGGCCAGGCTGCGGCCAGCGACCAGGACTCTGCTTCTTACCTTTGCTTCTCCTGTGGCTTTTTCTGAGTAGATGTGGGGGACAAAGAGGTTTTCTTGTCAGCACCAGTTGTCACCTGGAAAGGCCAGCTAGCAGTGTCACCTGCTGAGATGACACAGATCAGCGCCCCCACCTTCACCTGATTCTTCCTGTTCTACTCCTTCTGCTTTTGCAAAAATAATTTAGGTATCAAATCCCAATTTTAATCCATGGTTCAAGGGTTGATTGGGTTGCTTTCTAACATTCTGGGGAATATATATTAACTATGAGAAAAATAAAAAATCAAAACAGTGAATGATTGTTGTCATAAGAGTATCAAAGATGAATTTTGAGGCAGTAACTCAGAAAAAATTCTGTGATAATTCCACAAGAGCAGTGTGTATGAATACATAAGTTACAGGTGCTTATGTCTTGGTGACTGCCCTGGGCTTCTCACTTGAAAAGAATGACTCGGTTTTCAGTGAAATTATTTGAGGTAGCCTATAATCCCAGCACTCAGGAAGCTGAGGCAGGAGGATTGCTGTGAGTTCCAGTCCAGCCCGGGCTACATTAGCAAGACTCTGACTTAAAAAAAACAAAACAAATTGTCTGATGTAAAATTATTTTTGGGTTTTTACATTTTGACCAAATGAATATATTTCTCTTGGTTTTTGACTCAATTATCATAGTTGTCTTCCTATACATTGTATGTTATATAATCCCTACTTGAAATAGACATTTTGAAAGGACTGATAAGTGCTTTTTTTTTTTTTTTTTTTTTTTTCTTTTTTGGTATTTCTAAGATGGGGTCTCACTATGCAGTTCAGGCTGGCCTAGAACTCACTTTGTAACTCAGCATGGCCTAGAACCTGCAGTGATTCTCCTGTCTTAGCCTGAGTGCTGGAATTTCAGGCATGTGCCATCCCGTCCAGCTCATAAACACTTTATTTTATTTTATTTTATTTTATTTTATTTTATTTTTTGGTACTGGAGATTGAACTCATACCCTTGCACTGACCAAGGAGGCGCTTGTGCCTGAGCTAAACCCACGGCCATAAACACCTTTTTAAAACATTCTTAGATTTCATTTGTTCCTGCTCTAAAGTTTTTTAATAAGTTTTTTACTCAAGTCTTTCAAAATTCTGTTTGTTTGTTTGTTTGTTTTGGTACCAAAAATTGAACTCATGACCGCATGCTTGCCAGGCAGGCGCCTGTGCTGCTGACTTACATCCCTGGCTATGTTCATTACTTTTAAGAATGCAGAAGATAAAACATAAAAAAGGAAGTGACCCATAACCTCACTGTCCAAACAGCCCAGTAATGCTTTAAAGATAAGAGTTATAGATGCAAATATTTTAGCAATCTAAGCCTGAAGTATACATTGCAAGTAAAAGCTACCCTCCCCTCTCTTCCCTTCCTCTGCCTCCAAGGGATGAAGATCAGTTGCTTTTTATTGGCCTGTCCAATAAAAAAAATTAATTCCCTCCCCACCCTCCAGTCTTTTTGGTCTTCTGAATTTTTCTTTTGTTTTTAAAAAAATTGTGCACCAAGCATCGTGGTGCACATCTGTAATCCCAGTACTTGGGAGGCTGAGGCAGGAAGATTGTTGTGAGTTCAAGGCCAACCTGGACTATCTAGCGAGACCCTGTCTCAACATCCCCCCTCCCAGAATAAGTGTCTTTCCCCCCAAACTTCAGGACATTTATGCCTGAGTTTATTTCAGAAATGAACTCCTATTGCAAAGTTTTTGCAGAAAAGTCCTAGAAGCCTTCCCCTTACCTCTTCATCTGAGATGTGAGAGGAGAATCAGCCCATTGCAGTGGGCTTTGTTCATTTTTCCGTTGGCTGAACTGAGATAGAAAATCAGGCATAGTTGCCCATTTACCCTGAAGAAGAAGTCTGCCTGTGTTCTCAAATCACCGGGTGCCAGGATTTAAAATGCGCTGCATGGTGGGTTTTCCTCGCCTTGATTTGGTTGACTGAGCACAAATACTGAACCAGACTGTTTGCTTTGGCCAGCCAGGCAGGTCCACATGCTGTGTGTCGGACTCGTGTGTCTGCGCTGACACTGCAGACTGGCGCTCAGGGCCTCAGGGCTAGCCTGGGTCCTGTGAGCTCATGCATTAGTGGGATGAGACCCCAAGCCTGCAAACACCACACTTTTTTTTTTTTTTTTTTGGAGACAGGATCTCACTGTGTAGCCCAGGCTGGGCCTTGAACTCATGGTGATCCTCCTGCCTCAGCCTCCTGAGTGCTGAGATTACAGATGTGTCCTACCACACCCAGTTACATTTCTTTTTTAGCTTCCAAATATGGGAAAATAAGAAGCAGTACTCATCTGTATCTGGTTTTATTTCACTGAACAGAATCTCCTCCGGTTCTACCCGTGTCACTGCAAATGACAGGACTCCGGTCTTCTCCCTGGCTGAATGGTCTTCCATCACTTATATGACGCACTTTCTCTATCCGCTCATCCACCGATGGACCCCTCAGGCCCATTCTCTGAGTGTGAGTTGTTGTGAATGGTGCCGTAATATTTATGGGCACGCAGGATCTCTGTGGTCTGCTAATTTCATTTCCTATGACCATACACTCAACAAGGTGAATATCTAGATCATGTGGTGGATTCATTTCTTCTTTCTTTCTTTCTATGTGTTTTGAGACAGGGTCTCTCTGTGGTTCTGACTGGATCTAAACTCACTGTGTGGCTCAAGCTCTCCATAACCTGCGGTGATCCTCATGCCTCAACTTCCTGAATGCAGGGATGACAGGCACGGGCCACCAACATCTGGCTCAGTTTTAGTTTCTTAGGAGCTGCCATGCAGCTTACCATTATGTCTGTACTAATTTGAATTCCCAGCCACAGTACATACATCTTCTCTTTCCACCAGGTGTGGTGGTGCACACCTGTCATCCCAGCACATGGGAGGCCGAGGCAGGAGGATCACTGAGTTCAAGGCCAGCCTGAACTGAATAGTGAGACCCTGTTTCAAAAAACAAAACCAAACCAAAAAGAGTCCCCTTTTCTTCACCACATCACCAACATTTGTTACTTTAATACTTTTCAAAACTTCTGACAATAGACATTCTGGGGCCGGGAGTGTGGCTCAGCGGTGAGGAATATGTGTGGCCGGTGCAAGGCCCTGGATTTGATGTCAAGCAACAAAAGAAAAAGAAGCGTCTAACTGGGCTGGGGAGGCGTCCCCGGGCTTTCAGCTGCATTTCTGTGCTACTTTTTGAGTGTGTGTGTTTTTGAGACAAGATCTTTATGCAGTTCAGGTTGGTATTGAATTCACTTTGTAACCCAGTTTGATCTCAAACTTGCAATGATCCGCCTGCCTCAGTCTCCTGAGTGCTGGGATTACAGGCATTACTTTATGCCTAGCTTGTTAATACTTCCTAAACTGCTTTGTTTTATATATGTGTATATAAAATTATATTCTACATGGTATAAATATATAAATATTTATATAACTATTATCTATAACATATATTAAATATATATTTCAGTTATCAACTACCTCAGAAAGAGGCATAGATAAAAATAATATAAATACATCCTGTTCTTATAAAATCATGATCTTCATTTTTCAGGCTCATCACCAAATTTGTGTCTTCGTTGAAATTTAGAGTAAATTTTCCTCTTTCCCTAATACCAATCTGCTGTTTTACAGACTGACTGGGAGAGGTTGTGTTTTGTATTTTTTATTTGGTTCTTATATTTTTTTAGCAAGTGAACTCACAGAGTCATCGCATCTTCCTAGGCCTTTGCACTGAGCTGGATCCCTGGCCCTTTCTTTACTTTTTATTTTTTGAGACAGAATCTCACTAAGTCACCGAGTTACCCAGGCTGGTCTTGAACTCCTGCCTCAGTCTCCCAGAGCGCTGGGATTAAAGACGAGCCCTTACCACGCCTGGTTGAAGTTGTTACATGGTTTGCATTGGTGAGCTTTCCTGTGGTTGCTACGAAATACCCAACACACATCACTTAAGGAAGGGAGTGATTTATTGGTCTCACGGCTCAGGGTTCATGGTCGGCTGCCACCACGGAAGGAGGATCATGGCAGTGGAAGGGTGTGGAGGAGGAAAGCTGCTCCTTTGTGGCCGCTGGGAAGCAAGGCCCAGGGCAGAGCACCAGCAACCTCCACAGGCACCCCAGCGGGCCACCTCTGCGGTGGGCACAGCCGGGTATTCAGCGCCCCAGAATCTCATCACCCCAAAGGAGTCTCTTACGCCAGTCAAGTTGACAATTACGTGTTTAAATGTTTTTGTTTTGTTTTAAAGTATAGATTTTTTTTTTTCCAAAGTAACACACCAAGTGTAACAAGACAAAATCCTCCCGTGGCAGAAGGAGCAGTGTCCATTATTGGCCAGTCGCCTTCCAGGCAGTCTCATCTTCGTGCCGCTCTCGGTGGGCTCTCTGCCCATGCCTGTTGTCCATGAGTAACTGACACTGCAGAACCTAGGGATCCTGTCCCAAAGGGCACAGCTGGCAATGGAGGTCCCTGTGTCTCTGTCTTCCAGGAAAACGTGGGGGAAGTGGGGCCTTTTGTCTCCTTGCAGTCACGGGTGGAAACACTGCTCAGTGGGCACTGTTCCCTCTCCCCACAGAGGTTCTTGGGGTGTTCGGATGGAGCACCCCTCTCTGGTCTCCATCCTACCTGAGGAAGTAGCACCACGCTGCTCCAACCTGAGCCCTCTGGAGAGACATTCTGTGATTCCTCAGCATCCTGGGAGACAGGGAGATAATGGAGTGAGTTAGCAATTTGGTTGCCAAGGCAACGCTTTCATGGTTGGGATCGCACAGGCTGTGCTGGGTAGCAAAATAGTCCAGTCTTCTCTCCACGTTTCTGCTTCTGAACTGGAAAAACTGGGGTTGGGGGAGGATTGAATTCCAGATGTTATAAAATTTATGCCTAAGTTAGAATGAAAGTTTGTGGTGGCAGATTCTGGAGAATTGCATAAGGTGTAGGATTTTTTCCCCTCAAAATCACTTGTTATTTGCCAGTTGTCCCATTTCTATTTATTTTTTATTTTGGGGTTCTCATTTGGTTGGTAGCTCTGCCTTTGTTTTTTTGAGACAAGGCCTCACCATGTAACTCAGGCTGGCCTCGAACTCATGGCAATCCTCCTTCCTCAGTCTCCTGAGTACTGGGCTATAGGCATGCACCGCCACATCTGGCTGGTAGCTCTGGTCTTTTTAAAAAATTTTATCCCAGCCATTCTTTTGTGGCCAGCTGTCTTCATTTTGTGAGAAAATGCTTCCAGCATACCTGGCTTACCCTAGCTCAGCCTCAGCACCTAGGGTGTTTTTCCCAGCGCTAACAATCCGGGCAAGCGCAGAGGTATCACATTATCACGATGTAGAAGAACGATAACTCCCTACCTGTCAGCTGTCAAATGTGCGGAGTCTCGTGGCCTCACCATATTGAATGAAGTTGCGGAGTAAAGGAGGAAATTAGGAAGGTTTTATTGGAAATAGAAGGGGAACAACCCCTGGACTTTCAGGAGGGGTCCAGAATGGTGGCCCCGAGGCCCTCGGTCAGGGCTACTTTATCCAGTAAGGGCGCAGTGTGGACGCCAGGAGACAGAACTGCCTTCAGCCTGGGGATCCCGGGTTCCGCTCAGCTAATACTGACCATCAGGAACCAGTCGCCCAGCAGGGATGTGGGGAAAGAAAAGGGCATTTTGGGGAAGAGATGGGAGCACAGCTCTGCTCACCCACCCGGGTGACTGATGCCCGTCTGGACTCACTGGACCATGTGGTGCTGACCACAGCATAGTCTCAAGTTACTGTTTATCCCTGAAGGAGACACGTGGGTCTGACCACACCATCTTTATCTTTAGGCCTGGCCTTCTTCAGCTGCGCCTCCAGTCACAGATCTGATGTTTTTATTTTTGTGCTGAATTTCTTAAGAGTTCAGTCCCTCTCCGACTGTGTAGTATTTTCTGTCTAACTTAGCTGCCTCTAATATTAGTATCTGTGCAGAGTTGTGCAGTGACAGGGCTGGACCCTGCCTGACAGTGTTGAGTGTGAGACAGAGCTGGGAACTTGGAGCCCAGGGGCCTGGTGAGGACTCTGCTGGACCTCGGCCTGCACAAATGACTGCATGGTCCCTACCCTGCCTTGCATGAATTTCCCATGTAAGGGTCCAGTGTATGTGCCTGGTAAAGTTTGGCGTAGAGAACTCACTAAGCTTGCATATGGCGCTGGGTTTGATCCCAGTACATACACATATACCCTGCCTGCTAATTTTAAAGAAAAAATTTCTGTAAATTCTGACTTATGCCAAGGGAAGGATTTGGGAATGAACAGTAAACTCACCAGGAATGCTGCAAAAAATGAGCAGCTATAGGCTTGTGGCAAGCTTCAAGGACCTTCCACCTAGTAGCTGTTAGTTGTTTCCAGTGGTCCTCTTTCCAGAGGGGCAGGGTCCTGCCCAAGTCCTAAGGCTGTGACTGGCCTCAGCATTCCCATGACCAGAAGCCAGCAGGAGGAGGGCAACGGCATTGAACCACAGTGACTTCAGAGCTCTCTTGATAACTACAGATCCCAGAGAAGAAGCCCAGGACCAGTCCCACTCTTAGAACTCAGCCCCTGGCCATTTCCCACACTTAATCTGCCACCCCGGAGGAGGCCCCTTCTTCCATCTGCATTAGAGCCTTCAGAATCACCCACCCCTTGCTGGGCAGCTCTGGACTCCAGAGGCCCCTTCTCTGAATGTTGTGGGCAGAAACAATTTCAGACATGCAATCTTACAGCATGGTACTCAGAGAAAACAGACCAAGCATCAGAGAAACAGATTAGAAGATGCACAAACAACTTCAGACACACTGAGCCACCTTATCTTTGACAAAGGGGCCAAATGCATTCATTGGGAGAAAGATCACCTCTTTAATACATGGGGCTGGAAAAACTGGCTCTCTAAATGCCGAAGATTAAAGCTGGACCCATATCTCTCGACATGCACTAAACTAAAATCAAAATGGATCAAAGATCTAAATATTAAAGCAGAAACACTAAACTTCTGGAAAACGGAATTGGTAAAACAACTCCAGACACACTAAGCCACCTTATCTTTGACACAGGGGCCAGACGCATCTTAAACATCTTAAAGATGTTGGTGTAGGCAAAATTTCATGAACAAAACCCCAACTGCACAGTAACTATCACAAAGAATCAATAACTGGGACCTCATATTATTAAAAAGCTTTCTCACAGCAAGAAAAAACACTAACAGTGTGAAGAGACAACCCACAGTGTGGGAAAAAGTTTTTCCCAGCTGATCCTCAAAGGGCTAATACCTAGAATATATACAGAATTGAAAAAAGAAATCAGAAACCCCAAATTTAAAAGCCCAATCCAAAAATTGACATCTGAAATAAATAGACACTTTTCAGATGAAAAAGTGGAAATGGCAAATAAATATATGAGAAATTATTCAAAATCACTGGTCATTGAGAATGAGAATTAAACTAATACTGAGAGCCAGAAGTGTAGCATAAGCGCCTGCCTGGCAAGGGCAAAGTCCTGAGTTTGATTCCTGGTACCCAAAAAACAAAACAAAACAAACAAACAAAAAAACAGTGCTGAGATTCAACCTCACCCCAGAAAGAATGGCTGTCATTAAGAAATCAACCAACAACAAATGCTAGAGGGGCTGTGGGGAAAAAAGAACCCTTCTCCACTGTTGGTGGGAATGCAGCCTGGGCAACCACTGTGGAAACTAGTGAGGGGAGTGCTCAAAAAACTAGGATTGGGGGTTCCATTTGACCCAGCTAGTCCCCTTCTGGGTATCTTCCCAAAAGAATTAAAAACATCATACCACAGTGACATATGTGTACCCATGTTTATAACAGCACAGTTTGTAATAGTCAGATGTTGGAAACAATCTAAATGCCTATCAACTGAAGAAAGGATAAAAAAAGATGTGGTATTTTTATACAATGCAATAGTACTCAGCCATAAAGAAGGATAAACTGGCCGGGCATGTGGCTCAGGCCTGTAATCCCAGCACTCTGGAGGCTGAGGCAGGAGGATCACTGCAAGTTCAAGACCAGCCTGGGCTACAAAGTGAGCTCAAGGCCAGCCTAATGCATAGAGAAACCCTGTCTCAAAAAGACAATTAAAAAAAAAAAAAGGATAAACTGGACACTTTTGTAGGTAAATGAATGCACCTTGAGACCATACTCCTAAAGTGAAATAAAGCATAAATACTGCATTGTTACTCTGGTCTGAGAAACTGAAAGTATAAATAAGGACCAAAATGTTTAATAGGTACTGTGAAGTAGGAAGAAAATGTTCAATGGGAAGGGGGACGAGGGGGAGGGGGAAGAAAATAAAAAGTGAGGGAAGAAGGGAAACGTGGAAACAAAGCTTTTGTAAATAAGGGGAGAAAGAGGGATTGAAGGGAATGTAGGGGAAAGTTATACACATACAGGGACACGTTCCCTATGGCGAATGTGATCAGCACGTATACCTAAAATGTGCCAATACACTTAATTAACAGAAAAAAACCAGGTTTTAAAACATCAGACATCATCAATGTCATTAAGAATATCATCTTCAGGGCTGGGGATTTAGCTCAGCGGCATAAGCACCTGCCTTGCAAGCAGGCAGTCGTGAGTTCAATCCCTGGTACCGATAAAAAGGAAAAATACAAAAAAAAAAAAAAAAAAAAAAAAGAATATCATATTCGCATCTAAGAAACTCATCAGGTATTTGACATTCTAAACATTTTACATATTGGCTAAGAAGTAAGTTCCTAGCAGCAGTGTAGCAATTTGACAGTTAACAAAAGACAGCCAGGTAACATCCGTGAAAAAGCGATGCGGTCATTTCCTGGTGATGACGAGGCCCACAACCTTCTCTATTTCAAAGGTCTTAATTTTGATAAAGGAACCCCATGGCTTGACTTTCTGTAGGAATCAGGAGTCTACCACCGACCAATGTTCATCCTATAGCAAAACACAGATGGTAGAGGAGGAGGATTACTCTTCAAAAGATTAACTTTATTTCCTTGTCACTTGGTTTTAAAAAATAAGACGAGATGGGCTGGGGATATAGCTCAGCGGCAGAGTGCCTACTTGGCAAGTATGAGGTCCTGAGTTTGATCCTCAATACCATAAAAAAGCCCCAGCTTTGGGCTGGGAACATGGACCACTGGTAGAATTCTGGTCTTACATGCACAAGGTCCTATGGTCCATCCCAGCACCACACACACGCACTAAATAAAATAAAACAAAGATGATTTGTCGTTAGGTGGGCATGGTGGTGCAAGCCTATAATCCCTGTGCTTGGGAGCCTGAGGCAGGAGGATCTTGGTGAGTATGTGGACTATATAGTGAGTTCAGCCTGGACTACATGGCAAGACCCTGTCTCCAAAAACCAAACAACAACATGTACAACAAAAACAACAAACAGGGCCTAGGGATTTAGCTCAGAGGCGTAAGCACCTGCCTTGCAAGCAGGCGGTCATGAGTTCGATCCCTGGTACTGCAGCCTCAATCCAAGGGGCTCAGCTACTGCTCAAGCTGGTGGCAAATGCTGGCCTTGTTTCTTTCAATGGATTGCTAGTGAAAAAATACACCTCAATCCAGGCCCTCCTTACCTCCTGTTCGCTATTTTAACCAGTTTTACTGCAGTTTTTCAAACTCTTGCATTAAATAAAAGATTGCAAAGTAGGCAGCTAAACATCTGTGGAGTTTAATGAAATGTTATACAATGCAGCATTGCTGAGCACACTGTTTTAAATGTAATTGAGGATATCTGAGACACAAGATACCTCTGCTTGAGGTTCGGCGATAAAAGATGTTAATACCTGAATCTTTTGTTTCACCTTTTGTTACTTTTTGTCAAACTTACAGCACAATTAGAGGAGTCTGTCTTGCCCTGTTCTTGGGGTTCACTTGTGCTTGTATTACCTGCCCTATTTTCTGTCCTATTTCTTGGTTATAATTTTTTCATTGAGATATAATCCACATACCATAAAATCCTTTACCAATATACAATTCATTATTTTTATATACATGCAGCGTTCCAATTATCACTACTAATTTCAGAATTTTGTCACTCCCCAAAAGAAAACCCTGTACTCTGGGAGGCTGAGGCAGGAGCATCCCAGGAGCCCAGTCCACATGATAGGGATTTAATGAGAACCTGCCTCAAAATTAAAAAAAAAAAATTAAAATGGGCTGGGGTTGTAACTCAGTGCAAAAAGCCTGGGGGTTCAATCTCCAGTACTGGGGAAAAAGGAAAGAAGCCTTCACACATTAGAATCAATCCCATTTTCTCCTGCCCCCATTCTCTGTCAAATACTACCCTATTTTCCTTGTCTTTACATTTCTCTATTCTGGGCATTTCGTATACATGAAATCATACAATATGCTGTCTCTCGTGTCTGGCTTTACCCAGCATAACGTTTCATGGCCCATCCATGGCCGTGGGAATCAGTATTTCACTCCTTTTTATGGCCAAGAGTCGCTTTACTTCATTCATTCACTTGCTGGCGGGCATACGGCTGTTCTCCCTCTGGCTCTCAGGAGTAACAGTCCTATGGACATCTGGGTTCGGGTTTGTGTGGACATGGGTTCATTTCCCCTTCCCCAGTCCCTAAGACTAGGATCTCTGGACCACACGGTAACAGCAACGCTTATTGCTTGAGCAGCTGCTAGCCTGCCAAAGGAGCTACACCACTCTACCCTCTCACAGCAATGCACAAGCTCCCAGTGCTGCTTCATCCTTAACAAGATGTTACTACTTCCTGACGATAGCTTCCCAGCGGCTGGGAAATCAGCCTCCTTGAGGCTCTGATTTGCATTTCCCCAGTCAGTAGTGATGCTGAGTATTGTACTCGTGCCTATTGGTCATTTGGGCATCTTTGCAGGACTGTCAGTTCCAATCCTTTGCTGTTACTTTAATCATTTCTCTTTTTATTTTGAGACGTGACAGTTCTTTATATATATTTTGGAAAACAGACCCTTATTAGGCATGACTTACAAACATTCTCCCATTCTGTGGCTGGACAGAATGTTTTTGGCACTTTGCCTTTTTAAAAAGATTGGTACATTTTATATATACGGTCACATTCATCATAGATAATTTGTATCTGTACGTAATACATCTTGATTCTTATTTTCCCATTCCTCTCCTTTTCACTATTTTTAAAAATCCATTTTATTCCAGCATAGAAAGACAAAAAGAAAAGGAGGAGAAGGAGAAAGAGAAGAAGAGGAAGGAGGAGATGGAGAAGGAGGAGATGAAGAAGATGAAGGAGAAGGATGAGGAGAAGGAGAAGAAGGAGGAAAGGAGAAGTAGGAGGTGGAGGAGGAGAAGGAGGAGGAGATGGAGAAGAACAACATAGCTTCAGAGCCAGTCAATCAGGGTCCCTTTCACTATTTACAAAAGGTTCATTTCCATTTTTTCCTTCTATTCTTTCTCTCTTTCCCCCTCCTTCTCCTTTTTTCCCTCCCTATTTGAATATTTCCTCCCCATTTCCCAGTACTATTATACATTAAGGTCCTGAATGACAATTTGGTTTCTCATGCCAGAGAAACAATGTGGTATTTACACACCTGTCTGATGATTTCACTGAGCAAATGGTTGCAAGGGGCCTCCATTTAGCTAGAAATGTCTCCAGGAAAGCCCTCTCTTTTAGGTGAAAGTTAATTTAGTTCCACTAGATAACACCGCTAATAAACCCACTCACTTAGGGACACTAAGCCTGAAGAGCAGAGGTGACTGTATCACGTGGGCATAATTGGACGCCCCTGCAGCCTCAGGAGGCTTAGGTGTTAGGTGTTAGACCTGGAAGCCCCCCAAAGCCTCATATCTCCCAGGCGGGGCTTGGCAAGGTGCTATGCTCACAGGTGGATTAGTCCACTGCTGAGTTTATGGCTGAATGTGCCCTTGCAGGTAGGGCATGATGGGAGGGCTGGGTTTCTGAGAGTATGACCTGCGAGGTTCCATCTCCCAGCTCCTCCCCTCTCCCTCTACTTCCTGCTGTCCACCATGCTTGCCCTGCCTGGGCAAGCTGACTGTGGACTGAAACCTGAGCCAAAATAACCCTCTGTCTTTAACTTGCATGTGTCAGGTATTTTGTCCCAGTGAGGAGGAAACTAAGACAAGAACTTCATCTAACCTGTGACCAGGTACCAAGAGAGGACACCATGGTCAATTCCTATATATTTAGTTAAAGAAATATTAAATTACTTTAAACAATTTTAGGTTTAAAAAAAAAAGGGCTGGGAGTTTAGCTCAGTGAAATAAGCACCTGCCTGCCTGGTTGTGGATCCCTGGTACAAAAAAAAAAAAAAAAAACCAGAAGAAGAAAGAAAGGAAGCAGGCCAGGTGTGGTGGTGCACACCTGTAATCCCAGTATTTGGGAGGCTGAGGCAGGAGGATCACTGCAAGGTCAAGGCCAGCATGGCCTTCATAGTGAGTTCAAGATCAGCCTGAAATACACAATGAGACCCTGTCTCAGAAAAACAAATGAAAAAGAAGTCTTCCTATCTCCCGTGGCCCCTCCACATTGCTCCCTGGACTGTGCACACTGCTCGAGAGATCCCATTGCCTTGGTTACAGCACAGAGCTAATGTCATCTTCACCAACTTGATTTCTTACAATCCAATTTTCTTGGCTCAGAGAGAAACTCATGACAAGTAAGGGAATAAGCACATACTTGTTTTGCAAATTTCTGCTCTTGTCGCCCCCACAGATGAGCTGGCAGGACTTCACAGCCTCTGACTCACCGCTCCTGACTGGAAATTTCCATCACACAGAGTTCAGAGCGTTTTCAGTAGTGCTGTCTTCATGCAGGAAAAACAGAATATCCGTCATCAAAGAGGGCTCAAAAAAAAAAAAAAGGCAGACCACCAGTAAACCAATATGCTCAATAAATTTACATTTTCAGAACTTTGGAGTAAATTCCCATGGGTCATATACAAGAGTTTGAGAATTTATTTTAGCTAGGTGGAAAAAAATTAGGCATAAAACTGCTCTTTGAAATTACATACATGATTACTATATTTCTTTTTATATTCCCGAGGTGTATTTGAAGAGTATTTAAGAGCACAATTTCTAGATCAAAATGCACAGCAATTTTTTTCTTTTTGAGACAGGGTCTCGCTACATATCCCAGGTTGGCCTCAAATTCTCAGCAATCCTCTTGCCTCAGCCTCCTCAGTGCTGGGATTATAGGTGTGCACTACATGCCCAATTTTGTTATGTTAACATGAAGAAAATAACTTATCTTTTATTCCCTGAAGGCTAGCTTTCTAATGTAAGTTTTTTACTGAAGAACACTGCATGACAAGCAAATGATAGAAGCCATAGGCTTGGTATGTTTCTGCAAAGTTAATACGCTCGCTTGTATAAACAGTGCCCAGATAAAAAAAAAAAGAACACAGCCAGTTCAGCAAGATAATCTCTAGTGCTACTCGAACACTGCAGATTTCATTTGTCTGGTTTTGAAATTGTTATCTGTGGAATCCAGCAGTATCTTCTCTTCGGTCTGGCTTGTCTCCCTTGCATCCTCTGAGTAACTGAGAATCGCACAGCACCTTCCTAGGACTGAAAACAACTCCACTGAGTGGACTCCGCACTTAATTACTGTCCCATTGTCACAGGCAGTCAAGTTTTTAGAAATATTCTAGGCAGTCAGACAGGGCTGGTCCCTCGAGGAAGCCGGCACAGAGGACCAGATGTCTGATGACCTTGGGGGAGACAACACTTCTTGCTGCGGGCCAGATCTCAAAACAAATGCAACCATAGGGATTAAGTCTGGATCACCTTGAGAAGCCAGAAGTCACTATCCAATCCCTAGGGAGGACTCACTACGCTCTAAGAATGTTCTTTTGCTACCTGATTCGCTTCCCCATTTGTCCCTAATGTAATCAATTTTACCTGAACTATTGATCTTATTGATTGACCATAGCTCTGTCCCACCTCATGCCCATCTGCCTTGCGAACTCCCAGCTTTAGACCCGCCTCACCTCATGGTTTTACTCTATAAAAGTTCTGAGAAAATACTAAGCCTTTAACAACCCACTCGGGACCCCTTTTACCTCTCTTCAGATAGAAGCCTTCTTTCTCTCAATAAATATATCCTGCTCTCAACCTCAGTTGTTCCTAAAACTCATTCTTCGATTTTAGAAAACACAAACTCATTTAGGACATAGAGTAGGTTGGGAGTTTCTTTCCCCTGTATCACTATTGATGAATGATTGGCTTGCTTCCAGGTTGTAGCTATTAGAAATGACACTTGGTTGGCCAATGCTGTTGTGGGCTGGACAGGGAATGTTTCTCCAAGCTCTTGTGCTGAAGGCTTGAGATCGCAGCACAGCCAGAGTTCAAGGTGGGCCTTTGAATCCTATGAGGTTTTGGGACTCTGGATCCTGTGAGAGCTCAGCCCCGTCCCTTTCCCAGTGACTGCGTCAAAATACCTTTTCCTGCGGTTGAAAAGAGGAAAGGTACTCTGTGCCGCTTGGTCGTGGTCAGCTGTCTCTAGAGTAGACACAGGTTGGAGGTCAGGTCATTAGAGGAACGCAGCTCCACCAGGTCTCTGCTGCGGGCGACCTGGGACAGGAGCCAGGCCTGGCCTCAGAGCATCACTTACGGGCCACATCCAGGGCGGAGCCACAGCCCCACCTCCTGGAGAACATTCTAGACTATGCCAGATCAGCTCCAGTCTGTGGGCTCCTACCTTGGCCACATGATCGAGAAGTGACGGAATTAATTTCCAAGGCCTTCAAGGTCTACTGCAAACGGAGAGGCCACCGCCAGAGACGCGCCTCTGATTTACAGTGACTTGCTTCTACCATTAGACACCCAAAACGCAAAGAGGACGCTAACAAGGTGTCTGAGGGTCAAAAAAAGGGATCCACCCTCAGTCCCTAAGTGTCACCAGTCAGGCCACTTGGTGAAAGAGGGCCCAAGTTTGAGCCCCTGGGGACAGCACTGTTCTCTGCTGGATCTTTTGTGTCTCTGACCATGGACCCACCCGAAGGCTCAGGCCGCCCCTGGTCTGTCGCGGCTGCTCAGTTTCAGTGAACTTGGGGTGGTAAAGAAGATGGTTTCCTGTCTTTCCGGGTGGCTCCTCCGCTGACCTCCTTGCACTGGGTCTGGGGACGGTGCTCCATGGCTGGGCCGCTGCCCGCCTATGGCCTGGCTGCAGACGTGCGGGGTGACTGAATGTCAGCAGCTGCCCATGCTGCACGCCTACAAAGAAGTCGGGCCCATGAGGCCATGGCCACACTGATTAGCCAGCTCCAGACCCCACTGGGGGACTCGGATTGGCTTAGATTGTCCACTCCCCAGCAATGCACACCTGCTTGACCCAACCTTCTGTAACCGACCATGGGTCTTCTCACTCTTGGCATATCAGACTGGACTGCAATAAAATCCTCTCTGACTGCTTACCCTTGGTTTTGGCTTTGTAGTCTTAGTTGTGCCTCAGTTTAGCCTAAAAACGTAAAACATACCTCCTATATAATGCAAACTGTAGGGTTGTGGATGTAGTTCAGGAGTGCAGGAGAGCCTGCAACACAGGGCTCTGCGTTGGATTTCACATACCAAAAAACCCCCCAAAACAAAAAAACCCTGCCTAACTGTACACTGAGCCACTTTTGTTATTATCGCGATATGTCTTATCGACTTGACTTAATACCCGCCTCTGGGTAGATGTAAGGATGATTGACATGGAAAGCAGCCAATCTATGGCCCTGGATGTGGGGTATCAGCCAATAGCCATGGAACTTGGAAATAATAAAAAAACGAAAAGATGAAGATCGCCTTTCCGCTTTGGAAAAGCTGGTTTTCAGGTTCAGGTTCGTCCTTTGGACCTTTTTCTCCCGTTTAGCCTGCTAACAGAGGCTCGGATCTGCATGCTGACTGTTCTTGCATATTTCCATCACCAATGCGCAGGCCAAAATTTCAGATTCTTCACCTGGAAACCCGCGAACGACCAAACCGGTAAGGTGGCCTACATTAATTCTTTATAATGCCTTTTTAGAGATTTTTTTTCCTTTTTGAGATAAGAGTCTTGCTATATGTAGTTGGCCAGACATAACAGACTACATAATGATTTGCATTTATTTTAAGAAAATGGCAAGAACCAGATGCGGTGGTATATATTTATAATCCCAGCAATGGAGAGGCTGAGGCAGGAGGATTACCGCGAATTCCTGGCCAGGTTGGGATCCGTAGCCTCGTCTCCGAAAAAAGTTGGGGGAGGGGGTAAGGACAAATATATAGTAATACAAAGCAAAATAGTCATTCAGTGCTTCGAGAGAGAATAAAGACAACTGAAATAACACAAGGCAACTTTTTGGAGGTGATGGGCAAGTTCTAAAACCAATTATGAAATGTACAAAAATCTTTTTTGAGTTGTAGAGTACAGGTGGGGTAAACGTAGATCCCCAAAAGCTACTTTTAAAAAACTTAGATTCTTTCACTAAAACACATTTAAAAAAAAAAAATCAGTGAGCCACTGTGGGAATATGGTTACTTTTTGACATGACAAAAATTAAATATTTAAAAGGAACTCTAAAGAAAACAGTTCTAGAGAAACATTGTTTCTTCCCCAATGGGTTAATTTTCATCTCTCTTGGATTTATGTATCAAGACCTTGTCTTAGGAGGACTTTCAGTGATTTCTGCCATCTGTCACACAGACATAAAGAGGTCCCAGCTACACTTTTAGAGTAATGAACTCAATTTCACAGGAAAATAGAAAAAGAAGACCAATGACCCAAACCTAGGTCATCCTTATATAAGCCTGACAGTTCTGTTCTATGTCCAGATGTGCATCTTAAATTCCTTTAAATCCCAAGTTTAGATTTTTAGACAACATAGCAGGCCCAATATCCAAATTTAAGTTAGGCATAAGACACAGGGTTCAGAATCCACAGTGCAAACAAAAATGGTTAAAACTTTTAAAAATACATTTCTAGCCAACATACAGCAGATACGAAAAAGAAAGAAATCATAAGAGTTTGATACATTTTCAAAGCGAGTCACCTTCCAGAAGAACATCAGCCAGCTCGCCATGCTTCCTCTGTGTCCCAGAGGGGAACACTATTCTGACATCTGTCTACTCCCATAAATTATTTTGCTGAATTTTGAGCTGTCCAAACCCATTTTTTAAAAGTCTTGTATACATAGATGGAATTTTCTGTTGGGTACGGATCTAGGAGTCATTCCCGGGTCACAGGCCATGTGTATGGTTGGCAGTGGTATAAATCATTTTATTTTGCTAAAATCTAGAAAACAACTTGAAGTGATTTCAGTGTAAACACACTTAAATGCATAAATTTCCTAAGTATAAATACACATTCATTCTTCAAGCTGATTTCAGCAAACACTGTTATGCACAGGACAATTGGGTATCAGTAACAGAGTTGCTGGGGTGTGATGTCTCACAAACATCCCTGCTTGGGGGAACATTGTCTCCTGTCCTTGGGAAGTGTACCCCAACATTCCTGCCCCCTTGGTGCAGTCTGGATGACCATAGAATTAATCTAAAAGAATATACTAAGTTTGTTCAGTTTCTCCCTAAAGCCTAGAAATCAATTTATTTTTTACTGAAAAAAAATAGCTGGCAGGTAAACACCTGTACCCCAGCACACTGGAAAGCTGATGCAGGAGGGCTTCAAGTGTGGGGAAAGGCTGTGGGCAATTAGAGAGACACTGTCTCAAAATAAAATATGGACTGGGCATGTGGCTCTGTGCAGAGGCCCTGAGTTCAAGCCTCAATACAGAAAATCTGAGGTTCTTAGCAGCACCTGACCCAGGGCCGTCTTTCAATCCTA